AGTGAGTGTGAATTATGTAAGGCAAGTGTTAGGAATAAATATTTAAGGCCCAGCACCAGTGGCTCACAATTGTAATCCTACTTACTCAGGAGGCTGAGATCTGAGGATCATGGTTCAAAGCCAGCTCTGGCAGGAAAGTCCATGAGACTCTTATCTCCAATAAACACTCAGAAAACTGGAAGTGGCACAGTGGTTCAAGTGATAGAGTGCTAGCCTTGGGCTGAAGAGCTGAGAAGGAGAGCATTAAGGCCCAGAGTACAAGCCCCATGATCGACCAAAAAAAAAAAAAAAAAAAAGAGTAAATATTCATAAAACAAAACAAAGTAACTCACAAAACAACAATTCACTATAGGAGGGAATAAAAAGTTTAAAGGCTGATTCTCACCAGGTATGATGGTATATGCCTGTAATACCAGCTTTCAGGAGGCTGAGGCAGGAGGATTTGGGGTTTAAGGGCTAAAGCCTGGGCTACAGTGTGAGACCTGTCTTCACCAGCCCCTAATGAAGATCAGGTATGTGTGTAGGGGGATGTGGGGGAACAGAGGGAGCTTCTTGCTGATTTTTAGAACTAGGTCTGATATTGTTATGACAGCAATGGAGCAGAAATGACATGATACTTCACAGCATTTGATAGGAAAGAAAAAAAAAAAAACCTCAAAAGGAAGGATTCAAACTAGCCTGCTGGCCCAATATGTATAATACACATGGCCCCATGAATCCAGAATTTCAGAGAAATTGCAAATTGATCATAGGAAGAACTCCAAATTGTTGGGCTCTTGCTTTCTCCAAGTCACTCCAGCTCCTCTTTGTTTGAATGAAGAACAGTATGGCTGCTTGCCAAGGGTGGAGCTTGAGAATAAGCTGCGCGGGGGAAGCAGGACCTTGGGATCTACAAGAGTCAGTAACAGGGCTGCTACCTGGACAGCGAGGAGGAGAGGGTCCTGGGGCTGTGGCCATGACGCAAAACATACAGGTGAGGGAGGGAGGTAGGCCAAGAGAGGGATTGACTAACCCTACCCCCCTCTCCGGGAGGTCTGGGGGCGTTACCACTGAGCCAGGAAGGCCTTGTAGATGGACTTTCACCTTTTATCTCTTTAAAACATTGTTTTCCAATTTCTAAAACTATCTATGCACCTTGTCAGGGGTGGGGTATATATAGTTATGGTCATTGCAGGCAGGCCTTGAAATTCAATACATCGAGAAGCTTATTTTCAAAGTGAAATTCAAATAAACCTAGGCCCATCAGTGATGTTATAAATATCCAAATGGCCCTTAGCAGAAGAGGTTCCCTGGATCCTATCTGAACATAGGAAGAGCTCCATAAAAAGGACAGAGAAAAGTTAATCACTTGTAAGTTTTATCTCCCAAAGAGGACCACTGACAACATCATGGTATATGTTTTCTAAGCATTATTTTAAAATCAAAATTTGTAGCCAGGCACCAGTGGCTCACGCCTGTAATCCCAGATACTCAGGAGGCTGAGATCTGAGGATCACAGTTCAAAGCCATCCTGGGCAGGAAAGTCTGTGAAACTCTTATCTCCAATAAAAATTACTAGAAAACCGGGTGCTGTGGCTTAAATGGTAGAGCGTTTGCCTAGAGCTGAAGAGCTTAGAGATAGCACCCAAGCCCAGAGTTCAAGCCCCACGACCAACAAAAATAAATAAATAAATAAAAATTTGTATCCCTTTTTATAAAATATTTTATAAAGTGTTTAAATTTTTCTGTAGTTGTTAAATTCAACATTCTAGAAATAGGCAAAAGATTACTGAAGCCCGTCCCGACCATATGCTCTTATTCACTATTTGGTTCAGAGATTGGAAAGATCACTTTAGGTTTCCTTTCTCCTTTTCTCTCTCTACAAAACCCCTACCCTCACTTTCTTTTCTTTTCTTTCTTTTTTTGTGTCAGTCATGGGGCCTGAAGTCTGGGCCAAGGTGCTGTCCCTCAGCTCTTCAGTTCAAGGCTAGCGCTCTACCACTTGAGCCACAGTGCCACTTCTGGCTTTTTCTGCTTATGTGGTGCTGAGGAATCGAACCCAGGGCCTCATGCATGCAACCCAAGCGCTCTACCACTGAGCCACCTTCCCAGCCCCTCTCTTCTTTTTTGATCCAAAGCCTTGTTGTAAAGACAATCTGGCCTTGCATTTCAGATCATTCTCAGCTTCCCAAGTGCTGAGACTGTAAGTATGTACCCAATGCCCAGCTTAAACAATCACTTTTAGTATATGTTCCATAAATTCTTCTTTTTTTCCCCCAGGTGAGATCTTTAAGAATAGTAAGAATGTGGCTTGGTGGTAGAGTGCTTGCCTAGCGTGCATGAAGCTCTGGGTTTGATTCCTTGGAACCATATAAACAGAAAAAGCCAAAATGGTGCTGTGGCTCAAGTGGTAGAGTGCTAGCTTTAGAGCAAGAGAAGCTCAGGCCCCAGAGCCCAGGCCCCAGGTTTAAGCCCCAGGACTGGCACCAAAAAAAAAAAAAAAAAAAAAAGGGTAGGATTTTGATATATCCAGAAAAAAAGAGCATACATTTTAAGTGGAAGAAATAGAATATGAGCAGTACAAGAGACACAAGATGTACTGGAAAATAAGGAAGAGGCCTGACTGCTATGCAAAGGGCTGTGAACAAAGACAGGAATGACAAGCCAGGAGTGAAGAAAAGCTCTTAAAATGGTGAGAGGGTCATGGGTTGAGGTGGTGGAGTAAAGCCAGGAAACTAAGGTTTGCAAACGCTGTTTCTCACATGAAGAAATGAGGCTGTGAGATGAGCCACAGAACAGCAGCTCTAGAGATGTGAGAGTTTGTGTGGAAGCACTTTTCCCAGATAGTAAGGACTAGAGCTAAGAGAGTTTCTGTGACGGGAGAAAGGAAGGTAGGTATTCTGAAGTGTAAAATGAACATTCACAAATCTAAGATGCTTCAAATACTTCACAAATCCCAAATCTAAGATGCTTCAAAATCTGAAACTTTTAAGGGCCAACAGGACACTCAAAGCATTTTAGACTGAGGAATATTTTTGGATTTCTTCTTCTTCTTTTTTTTGGACTAGAAATGCTCACGGGACAGTATGCAAATATTCTAGAATCTTAAAAAAAAACTCCAAAACAACCTTTAAGTTTGAGCCAGGTGCTGGTGGTTCACACCTGTAATCCTAGCTACTCAGGAGACTGAGATCTGGGGATTATGGTTTGAAACTAGCCTGAGCAGGAAAGTTCATGAGACTCTTATCTCCAATTAACCACCATTATGTACATGCCCCACCCCACAAAAAGAAAAAAAAGGCTGGAAGTGAAGCTGTGGCTCAAGTGGTAGAGTGGTAGCCTAGAGCAAAGAAAGCTCCTGAAGCAAAATAGCTAGACCTTGACTTCAGGCCCTAGGACTGGCACCAAACAACAACAACAACAAACCTTTAAAAACTAAACCCCACTCTTTTCCCCTCCATCTCTTCCTGAAGGCACTAAGGATGGAGATCAAAGCTTCATGCTTACTAGACAAGTGCTCTACCATCGAGCTATATACCTAGTCTAATTCTTTTACTAAAGAGAGATTGGGCAGAGGGATGATAAAAGGAGTGACACTGATCTTGAGTAAGCTTCAGTCCAGCCTGGGTGCCCAGGGAGCTTATCTCAATAAACAAACAAACAAAAATCCCAAAGCAAAAACAAAAACACTATCAAAGGAAGGAGGAGGAGGTGGAGGAAGAAGAGGAAGAGATTGCTGACTGAGGAGAGAGGGGTAAGGACTTGGAAAAAAATCCATAGGGGAAATGGAACAGAACTACATAGTAACTCCAGTTCTGTTGGAGAGCATGACTGGGTAGGGCTAAGGGAATCCTGCAATATTCCTCAGAACACTCTGAATTCCATAAGTGCCATCTCTATATGAGATGGTAGAGGAATGAAGGGCTAGGGACTAGCTGAAAGTCAGGTAATAGAAGAGGCTTAAGGGGACCTACTCATTGGGTTGGGAGATGGAATTCTTGGAAATAATGGTGTACACAAGGTATGGGTAGCTTGATGGTCTTTTGTAGTCAGGAAAGCAGGAAGGAAATGGTGGTCTAAATACATAGCTGGTTATGATGGCAAACGCTTGTAATCTGAGTACTTGGGGAAGAAAGGAGGGCTTGAGATCTAGGACAGCTTGGCCTACCAACCAAATTCCAAGCTAGTCTGGGAAATATAGCAAGACTTTGTCTCAAAAGCAAAAACAATAAATCAAAAAACAATGACAAAAATGATAACATGTATTTCCATATAAGGGTGCTATGCAGTCTAGAACAAATCAGTTGACTAAAGTAAATAAAGAAAACCTGACTCTAGTAATTTGTCCTATTTCTGAATCAAACAGAATTCAAAAACACATTGGGAAAGACACCAGCGTGAGAAATACTGTGACAGCTGAGTCTTCCTTCAGCATGGATGCTGGGGCTGTAACACAGGAAGTTTTGGCTGGCAGCCACCTGGCAGTCACCTCGCTGTACATGGGAAGGAATGGCTCAGGTTAATAAAGCAGCTTAAGTTACCCAGAGGCGTTCAGGTTACAAACTATGTAGTAGGTGGAGTACATCAGCCACAGGGAGTAGAGTACCTCCCACAGTACATGACAAAGAAAGTATATGAAGAATATCAAAACACAGGGAGGCCATTTACACTGGAAAGCAGTTTACCTTTCTCTCGCAGCCTCCTGTAAAATGAAGATGCTGTATGGCACATGTCAAAACTAGCAGCTATAAATTCTTGAATGTGTAAACAAGGCTTTGAATTTTTTAATCATGCAATATACTGGAATGTTAATAGGCAAGAAAATTCAGTAGGGTTTTTTTATATTTTAGGTCTATAGAATTAGAGCTAAACACCTGTATTCTTAACCATAATGCTGTATGGCAGTTTGAGAAGCAGAAAGGCCTTGAAGTTAAAAGCTGCAACCTAAACCTCTTGCTCTAAACTCTACACAAAAGAGTTAAAAAAGCTCTACAAAATTAACAAAAGGAAACACACAATACCTCTGGATTCATTATTCCTTCTTTTTTAAAACAGCTGTAAAACATGTCCATGGAAAATACTTCACTCCAAAGATATCCATAATATTGGCCATCATATCCCCCAGCCAAGTGTCCAAAAGTAGCTGGCATATTTGTACCTCACACACACAAAAAGAGAGAGATACATTTCAATCAATGTGCGAGAAGATGTTAATTATCAAGTTATCAGTTAGCTCAGGTTTTCCTGCCGTACTAGTCCAGTTTCGAGAGGAGGGAGTGAGATAGGATCTCACCTCTAGTACTCCTGGGATTATGTGTGCGTTTGGCCAAGATGTTTACAAACTTCACTCCTGACAGTGGCTCAACCTCTGAGCTGGTTTCGGCCCAAGCTCTGGAATGCCTAACAATAGTTTCAGAGGCTTTGTCCACACCCACAAGGTAGCTGAGTACTAAGTCAGTCCTTTCTTATCCCTTTGATATTAATGTCTTAAAAATACTCTGACAATAACTCTTTTTTTCCCTCTTCTTCCTATCCCCCCTTTCTTCTTTTTGTGGCCGTGCTGGAGGTAGACTGAACCCACCCAGGGTCTTAGTATGTCAGGCAAGTCCATGTTACACCATTGAGCATTCCGTCCTGGCCTTGTGCCACACTCCTGAATATTTAAAATGCCTCAGAAGAAAATGACACTTGTTTTAGGTTACATAATTTCTGAAAAAAGAACTCTTGCTTGAAAAGCAAAACAAATTTTACCAAGTTAATCTTTGAGCTAGTACTATCTTAAAAAGGATTCTGGCTTGAGGCACAAAATTGCTGTATGGTTTACTATAAACAGATCACCAAAGGAAGTGAACAGGCTAGAATGATTCAAATGACAATTCTTATCTTTATTATATCTATAAATGTGGCTGATTCATGTTAGTAACAATTTCCTTGCTGAAAAAAACTTCACCCTAGCAACTACATATGAATGCACACAAACATGTTGGCTTAGAATTACGTACATATGAATGCATACATTCTAATGAATAGAAGTAGCCCAATGCTTTCTCTGAGCTCAGAACCAGAACCAGAATCAGATTCAGAAACAAAAGCAAATAAAAATGCCCTTTCTACCAGGTCCTTCTGAGAATCATGGGAAGTCATAGTGGTATGGGAGGGAGGTGCTGGCAGTGTACAGCTCTCTGGGCTCTGGGGTGGAGGCCAATTGCTCATGCCTGATTACATTAAACTGCTCTGAACCAGAGCCACCTTTCCTTCAAGCACATTCAGAGAGGATAACTCATAAGGGCATAAGTTTACCTGAAAGTCAAAGCCTCAGTGCAGAAATCAGAAAAAAATGAAATGAGGTCTGAGTAGTTCCCCTTTTCCCGTGCCCTCAATGTCAGGAGTATGCCTTTGTGTCACAGGTACCATAAACTCAAGCAATAGCATTTCCATACCTGGGGTAGCTGCAACGCCTAAAATTTCTGTGCAGTATTTAGCATATTCACTCGCAGCATCAAGTGATGTGTTGGTGTGAAGAGACTGATCCACTTTGCTCAAAACAATCTGGCGTAGGGTCAGAAGACCTAATAACATAAAGAGTGAGCATGTAATTGGAGAATAGAGACTGAGTTCTAACATCACAAGCTCACTAATGTCAAACACTGATTCTGTAAGACAGCACAAAACAAGGAGCAAGACATCTTATTCCACATAAAATCTCAGCATTTTTTTCATAGACATAAATAATCCCAGGGATCTCTATTCCAACATATTCAATGTTCCCACTTCTACATATTTGCTGGAATATATTACTATTAAAGGGAAGTTAAGTGTCTGAGAAAAAGTAACCAGCAATAATGCATTAAGTGATTCTTGTTGAGTTTTCTTTCCTAATTTTTTTTTTATGTACCTGTGTTGACCAGTCTAGAAGCAACAAGCTTTTCAAGCATGTCATCTGTGATAGGGCTTCCATCTCTGTAATGTTTGGACAGTCTTCGGAGGGAATCAATGTCCCATACCCAGTTTTCAAGCATTTGTGATGGAACCTCTACAAAGTCAGTTTCCACATTTGTTCCACTAAATCGTGCAAAATCGGTCTAGGAAGCAAACAGGTATCTTTTAATGCACTGAAGGAAAATTATCTGTATGATGAATTACAATTAAGACTGACCGAAAATTAGGTAGAATTAGAGCCAACTGTACTTTAGAATAGGTGCTAGAATAACTCTAGTTTAACTAATAATAAAAACCAGCAGCTAACATAAAAACAAGTTCAAACATTTCATTTTAAAATCTATTTAATTCTTTCTGAATTATAGACAAGTTTGGACCACCAGGAAAACCTAACTGAAAAAAAAATAAGCTAAAAACAAACCTTAAAGAAATAGAAAGAAGGAAGAAGAATTTTCCATTGAAAGTAAAGAGCTCCCTAAGATAAGCTAGTTCTCTCTAGCTCCTCCTCCTTGCTTATTCTTGTTTACTCAATACATGCCTTTCTGGGGCACTCATTCTACTGTTGCTTAACTACTCAAGTTTAAATCAATTGAAGAGTTACATTACAACATTCCACATTGATACCCTTTGTGTGTGTGTGTGTGTGTGGGGGGGGGGGGAATGTGTGTGTGTGTGTGTGCATGCGCGTGCGCGCGCACTTTTCCATTTAACCTGTGGTGGAAAGCCTGTGTTGGACCTCTCAGATAGTGCCTTAAAATAAGGGAATTGATCCTGTAAATTAGTAAATAAGTGGGATAAGTTAAATGTTATAAGAAAAACAAGAGATATATTTAAAAGGACTTATTCTGAGTGACTGGGAGAAGAGCTTGAAAAAAAGTTTGAAAGGGATTTTGTGTGTGTGTGTGTGTGTGTGTGTGTGTGAAGAACTTGAAAAAAAGTTTGAAAGGGAGTGTGTGTGTGTGTGTGTGTGTGTGTGTGTGTGTGTGTGGGATAAGTTAAATGTTATAAGAAAAACAAGAGATATATTTAAAAGGACTTATTCTGAGTGACTGGGAGAAGAGCTTGAAAAAAAGTTTGAAAGGGATTTTGTGTGTGTGTGTGTGTGTGTGTGAAGAACTTGAAAAAAAGTTTGAAAGGGAGTGTGTGTGTGTGTGTGTGTGTGTGTGTGTGTGTGTTGGTCCTGGGGCTTAACCTCAGAGCCTGGATACTCAAGTTCTATGCTTTGCTCAAGGGTTAATGCTCTACCACTAGAGCCACAGCTCCGCTTCCTGCTCTTCCTGCCTGGGTTGGCTTTCGACTGTGTTCCTCAGATCTCAGCCTTCTAAGAAGTGAGGCTTAGAGGCCTAATGCCTGACCTAAAAGAGTTTTAAAGGGTGAGGGCATGAATTAAAAGAGCACATACCCATAGTTCAAACCCCAGTTCTATCAGGACCACCCCTCCCCCCAAAAAAGTAAAATCTGGTAAATTCTCAAGTCAGATGCTCAAAAAGCTTTGGGGCAGAAAGATGAAGATTTCATAAAAAAAAAAAAAAAGTTTTCAAGCTGTGTGCTTTACCCTTCACACCATCCTCCACAGAACACTTGTAAAACTGTGTTTTACAGAGAAAACAGCACTATGGTCATCTGTGGAGTGGGGGTTATTATGGTGTTGTGTTTCCCTGCACCTCTGTCCTGTTTTCTTCTGCAGATGCCTTACATTCCAACCTCCTCCCTCAGTCTTCATCCTCCCTAGGGCTCTGTGCAGAGGGTGAGGAAGAGGGACTTCACCACCGGGAAGGCAGCAGATGGGATGCCAAATCAGCAGCAAATAACCATTGTGCTTTTGGCCCAGGGCAGAAGCACAGATGTCAAAACGCAGTAACATATTCTGCCTTCCTCTCTTTATGCAAAAACACGTTTTGCTTGACTTCTCATTATAATTGTTCTGATTCTAGATAGAGAGAGCTGCAAACACAGAAGGGCCAAGAGAAATCGAATTCACCAGGCACTGGAATAGGCCACCTTTGTGGAGGACATCCCAATCAAACATTCTCACAGAGTCAGAGGTAAGGATCTCAGAAGGAATATTTTACCTATTCCTGAGCACAATATTTTAAGATTACATCTTGTATCATAGATAAAACAATCTGATACAATAATTATAACAGGCAACGTCCACTGAAACTTTATGTCAGGCATTAGGTCACACTCATTACATGAATTACCTGATTTAAATCCCTGAACTATTGTATGATTATGATGCAAGCACTATTATCTCCATTTCTGAGATAAGGAAACTGAGGCATAGAGATTAATGGCACAAATGGGATTTGAAACAAGGTACTCTGATTCCATGACCTCTGACTTTCACTATGAATGCCAGAATGCGTCCTTATCTTATAGAAAAACAGAAAAAGAGTAAATAGATATTTTTAAATGTTTTATTTTTATTTTGTTGGCCATGGGGCTTGAACTCAGGGCCTGGGCACTGTCCCTGAGCTTTTCTGTTCAAAGCTAGTGCTCTACCACTTAAAGCAACAGCTCTACTTCTGGTTTTCTGGTGGTTAATTTGAGATAAAAGTCTTATGGACTTTTCTACCCAGGCTAGGTTTGAACTGCAATTCTCAGATCTCAGCCTCCTAAGTAACTAGTATTACAAGTGTGAGCTACCAGCACTCAGCTTAAGTTATGTTTTGAGATGACTAAATTCTCTTGAGAGAGATCTAAAGACAAAAGCTGTCTACTGAATTTCCCCTCTATGTGAAAATTAAAGCAAGATTTCATTTACTTCTGGAGAAATCTGACTTCCTCTTAATGCTGGGAGAATTTTCAAAGATCAAAATAGATACTGAGGCCAAGTACCAGTGGCTATAATCCTAGCTACTCAGGAGGCTGAGGTCTGAGGATCACTGTTGGAAACAATCCTGGGCAGGAAAGTCTGTGAGAATCTTATCTCCAATTAAGCACCAAAAAGCCTGAAATGGACTCATGGCTCAAGTGGGAGAGTGCTAGCCTGTAGCAAAAAAGCTCCTAATCAGCATTCAGGTCCTAAGTTCAAGCCCTATTATCAGCACAAAAACAAAGAAACAAAACCACCATCACAAACAACAAAAACCCCACGTGATAATGAAGTGTGAAGACAAGCCTTTGTAACTGCATCTAGAACTTGGGGTTCTGTAACACTAACTGAATAATGTTATAATATATGGTTTAAAAACAGATACTAATAGAGAAAATAAAAACTAATAGAGAAAATAAAAACAAGTTACTTATAAGCTACCACAACAGAAGCTTAGTATATCCAGCTCAAATGAAGGTTTTTAATATTTGCAATGAGGGGAGGATCTGAATCTAAATCACATCTATGTAACAATCTAAATCTATTTAAATAGCAACAAAATGTGCTAGCAAGAGTGCGTGTGCGCGCACACACACGTACGTGAGTTAGAAGAAATGTTCAATATCCAGAAAAAAATATGAACAAATGAGTAACTCATGAGTTAAGAGCTGAAATCAGGTAATGTAACAGTTGTGGCTGGAAGTGAGAGAAGAGAGGGCTTATTCTATCCCAAAGTCATGCTGTAGTGGGTGGGAGGGGGGAAGCATAGCTAATGAATGAACAGATCAACAATGTCTTCTAAAGAACAAAAGGAAATATTTGCTAGGAGTAAATGCTAAAAATAGCCCTGCTGCTTGTTGATTTCCCAGAAGTCAGTCCTGTTGTTTCTCAGTGAGCCCTCTGGGCAACATCATTTAAGGATTTTTTTTTTTTTTTCAAATAAGGAAGGCAAAAGATCTACAAAATTTAAAAGCTCAATTTGTAGCCAACAATTAAATTCTTAGGACAAAGATTCCATAGTTAGCCTCCCAGTGCACCTGTGCATCCACAAAGAAGGCATGACAAGCCTTGCAATATCCCCGCACAGCAGTAAGGCTACTCCACAATTCTCCATGCCTGCCATACACTCTAAAGAAGTACTTCATATCTTTCTCAATACCATCAGTCAGAGGGCACTGAAAACAGTAGCTTCTGAGCCATAGTAGCTGTTGATGCCAATATATCACCTAGAAAAAAACGAGTATTGTTAACTCCTACTCCCAAATAATCCAATTAACAAATCATTTTAGTGGTAATTCTTCAAAGAGTTTTAGCGCATTTTTGCTGCTAGCAATGTTTTGATTATAAAGCCTAGAAATCAATGTGCACTTAAATCTGCTTGGTTACACATTCTTGAGAGGATAAAGTTAAGTATATGGTTTTTCTTTACTTTTTTTTTCCCTGTCAATCACGGGGCTTGAACTCTGCCTGGGCACTGTCCCTCAGCTCTTCAGCTCAAGGTGAGCACTCTACCACTTAAGCCACAGAGCCACTTACAGTTTTCTGGTGGTTAATTGGAGATAAGAGTCTCACAGACTTTCCTGGCCAGGGCTGGCTTTGAACCATGATCCTCAGATCTTATCCTACTGAATAGCTACGATTACAGGTGTGAGCCACCAGTGCCCAGCTACTGTCTTTTAAATGAACAACAGGATTCAGAAACTATACTCCATTATATACTTTTACAAGAGATGACTTGATGTCTAAATTCATATGTCATACTGAAGGATAGAACAAACTGATACAAATGAACTAAAATATCATGTTTTTTAAAATTAAAAAAATTATTTTATAGTACTGGGGTTTGAATTCTGAGCCTCACACTTCTCAGCTTGCTTTTCTTTTTTCTTTTTTCTGGTCAGTTGTGGGGCCTGAACTCTGAGCCTGGGTGCTGTCCCTCAGCTCTTCAGCTCAAGGCTAGTGCTCTACCACTTGAGCCACAGCACCACTTCCGGCTTTTTCTGCTTATGTGGTGCTGAGGAATTGAACCCAGGGCCTCATGCATGCAAGGCAAGTACTCTACCACTGAGCCACCTTCCCAGCCCCTCAGCTTGCTTTTCTAACTGGTGTTCTACCACTTGAACCATACCATCAGCCCAGCTTTTTGCTGGTTATTTTGGAGATAGAGTCTAGGCAACTTTTTAGCTTATGCTGGCCTTGAATGACAATCCTCTAGATCTCAGCCTCTTGAGTAGCTAGGATTATAGATGTGAGCGATTGTGCCAGGATCACTTTTACACTTTTTAAAGACTAAAGTATTACCAGTTACTGTCCTAATTAAGAGAACAGTTCTTTTTAGTGACTATAACTAAGTATTATTTTCATGATAGCAAATGCCTGGTACAAAGGTAAGGCAACTGCTGAAATCAATTGTGTATTGTGTTCAGGAAAAAGTACAGCCCTCAAGAGAACTGACCTGGCTAGCTAAAGTGATCCACTATTGATGGCAGTCATTCCATAGTCTAATCTGTCTGATCTACCCCTAAATCAGGGTTAATGGAATTTAGTTAACAAGGCAAGGCATTTTAAAAAATGGCCACTATCTACTAGACTTTGCCATATACAGATGGTAAACGGGTCCTAATTTTTACTTCACATGTATCTAGTGATTACTGAAAATAACAGTAGTAAATTGGATATGAATAACACTGTTCTGACTCCCTTACTAATCTTCACAACAGCTCTATTGTTTAACGAGTCAGTATCCTACCTGTAAATAAAGGACATATTTAAAAAAACCACATAATTTGGATATTTCTTGAATATTGCAAATTAAATCATAAGCTTGCCTCCACACTAGCTGTGCCTCCTATGTACTTCCAATTTAAATTGCTCCTTTTTGGATGAGAAGTAAAAAGACTGACTTCAATGCTAAGAAGTTTGGAGTATGTCTTACTTACCACTGTATGTCCCAAATCCACCACTTGCCCAGAAAGTAAGAGCTGCTCAATAGATAACTGTGAAATGAACAAAGATATCCTGGAAGAGGATATCTCTCTGTGAAGATGCAGACTCAGAACCCTGAGCTCTTGACCTGACCTTTTTGCCTTCAGCCTAATACCTTCCACTGCTCTATTTTGAACACTTAATATTTTCTCACTTAACCTAATGCTATGCTTTTCACTTTTTTGCTTTTGCATTTCATGTCTCCAGACAGAACTCTAAACACTCAGTACTATAACTTTTCTTTCTTTTGAACCCTATTGTATAATACTTAATGTGACATGTCATATATAGGAGATAATCAGTAAGGTATGCTTCTTAAGGAATCATCTGAGTCAGGGTTGATGGTTCATACTTGTAATCCTAATACTTGAGAGGCTAAGGCAGGAGGATCTAGAATTCAAGGCCAGCTTGCTTTTAGTCAGATTATCTCACAAAACAAAACTGAGAAGGAAAAAAAGTCATTTGAACATTTTTCTTTTTCCAATTATTTAAAAAATAATACCTACAGAAAATTCCTAAGTAAGCAACTAAAGGATGGTCCCAACAGAAATAATCACTCTGCAGGATTACACTTTGGGTAAGGACATTAGCATTTATTCTATGTATGTATACATATGAGCTTGATATGTAGAAGACACAAAACAAAAACAAAAAGACAAAACAACCATATCTGATGTTAAAGTCACAAACTCTAACAGTGTTGAGGAGCTTGAGCTAGGGAGACTGGCTGGTAACAGAGGCCATAAGATTGCTGGTAAGTAGTTCAAAGTACCTCAGGACTGAAAGCTTGATGGTCAATCTATACAGAGTAATGTAACAAGATTCCTTCCATGCATGGTACTCTTAGAATACCATTTAATAACTGAGGAAAGAAGTTCATCCATCAGGAATGCAAACATGAAAGACAAAATTTGGAACACATGAAGCAGCTGCCTCTAGAATAGAGAATTAAAGAACAACAAGCAGACAACAGGGTGGTTAGAACTGATGGAAGACCTCAGACAAGTACCCGCTAAGGCTCTAGTTTTTTCTAGTAGGAAAGTGGAAGAAATATAAGCACCCATTTACTTTATTAAGTACTGAGGATAAAAATGAATGAATGAATGCAAAGCAGGTGCTCCATGCCTGGATGGTAATGTACATAGTAAGGCTTGGCTTGTTTTTATTCTTAGCCTGTCAGCTTGTCTAAGTCTTAGCTAGCTGTTCTGACCAAGCTTATCTTTGGCTTCCTCCAAGTATTTT